CCTCCATATCTCTTGGAAACGTGTCGAGGCCCAAAGGAACTTTCCTCAGCCACCTCTGGAACCTCCCCAGGAGAAGGGGGAGGAGCAGTGAGTGCTGCCAACAGGATTAAGAGATTACAGGTCACTCCGGTTAATCTGTGATCCACGTGGTGAAACGGATGACGACGTCGTGCTTGGCGGCCTTCCTCGTTCAAACTCAGCCGCCATGAGAGAAAGTCCACCAACCAGAGTCCGGACCCCTCAAAAAACACCTAAAACCCTCCTGTCGCTTGACACGTTGCCTGGAAGATCATCAACGACCTTCTCGATGGAGACACGGAGACACCTTCGCCCTTCCTCCTTGACCCCCGGAACCTCTTCTGGGACCACTGGGACTCGCTCACACGAACCCACCAGAGACCTTTTTAAAGACCTCTAACATTCCTACAGCAACAGAAGCTTCTGCTCTCTGATTGGCTGTCAGGTGACCTGCTGTCAGCTGAGTTTAATGAGGTTAAGAATCGGAACCTGACGTTTTGCATGATGCTTTAGATTCTAACGGGTGGAACTTGGAGGTTTGTTGGCTGCTTTGGGGCGGGGCTACATGCTGATGGACAGGGCTCTACCAGACCATAGCTAGGTCTCATTTCATTGGCCGCTCGTCATTCATCGACCTCATGCGTTACTCCGCCTGCCATCGGATGTCCCGCTCCATGGGCGCCGGCCTCCAGGGGGCGACGTGGAGGACACATCTATCCAAAGAGGCCCAGCATTTCCCATCATGCTGTGCGGGTCCATTTATTCAGGAAGGAGACGACAGCGGGGAAGGGTTCACTTTTACATCTTAGAATATCTATGGATGTAAATGTTAAATCTCTTATAATACGGGCGGATGGAATCCAGCGTTCTGATTGGTTGAGAGTGAGTAACGAGGGGCACGTTATTGGGCCATAATGTTCACATTGACCCGAGCGTCCCGTATCACTGCGCACTCAAAGTAACAGGTCAGTTTTTGCGCGACCGACACTTTGACTTTTAGCTCGGTTGCGATCGTCGAAAAAAAAACCGAAATCCCACAAATTTTGGGAAAGTTTTGGCAACGCGAGTTTTCACAGCCGGACGATCAAGGTGGACGTCATGAGCGACGTGAATGAACGACATGTTCCCCCGAACTGTTTATTATTGGAGGATCAAGTACAGCCTCTCGTCCCTTATTGCTTCATAAATAACGTCACATGTTACTTTATTAAGTCAGTTTTAAAAACACAAAAGACTTCAGAAGATCAGAGATTCTAACGGGAGACGTTACTTAGTTACAAGTGAACTTCAGACACACACACACACACACACACACACATACACACACACACACACACACACACACACACACCAAGAGTTACGACCTCATATCGTCTGTATTCTCAGTGATAGAAGAACAGTGTGACCTTCTCCTCTCCCTCCCCCCCTCCTCCTTCCCCTCATCCTCCTCCCTTTTACTAAAGCTTGTCCAGCTAATGTTCAGTCGTTTAGCTGCTGAGTAAATCTGTGATCTCAATACAGTACAAACATTGAAGACATTTGGCACATGTATGATGTTCCACTGTTTCCATCGTTAAAAGCAGAATGCATTCTACTCCATGTGAAGCAGTCCACTTCCAAACGAAATGGAGTGTTTCCCTTAGTAATTAGTGTGACTCTCTTCAAAAGCCGTGTGGCCCTCGCCATAGATCTCATCACATGAACAGCACATAGGACATGTTCACATCAGGTAATTAGCATCACATCAGGGCATCCTCCTTTCCAGAAGGTTGGATTCTTCTCAGCTCATGTGAGCAAACACAGACCTCGGTGTGTGTGTGTCACCTACCGGCGGCCTCGTTGTAGTAAACACTAATCCTGTCCAGCTGCAAGTCGCTGTCTCCGTGGTAGGATCCCGGTGGGTCGATGCCGTGCTCGTCGCTGATCACCTCCCAGAACTGAACACACAAACACAGACGGGCCGAGGCAGCATCAGTGAAGACTTACGGCAACGAAGGCCCTGCTGACAAATGGCTGTTCAAGTCTTCACAATCAACGTGTTAGTGTTGATTTTAGCATAACCTTCTAATCTAAACTTCTACTGAAACCTGATCTTTCAAAAGCCAGCATCAACCACTCATCACCTGGCTTGACACCTGCAGCGTTCATGTGCAGCG